TGACAACGCACCCTTCTCACCACAACTAAACCTATCATCGTCGTCGTCGCATTTACTGGCGTTTTGTATTCCACGCGTTACTCGACGTACATACATACATACGACGAAGTTAGCATTACACAATATAATTTTGGAAAATAATTCGATACGCCAAAATTCCAAGAGGGTGTTTTGCTATTACGTATCCACATTTTTCTTATCTTCAACACGACAACAGAAAAAAAAGATTTGAAAATACTAACTTATAATTTTTCCTAAATATTCTACATTAACGTATTAAAAAAAAAATATTTACGTAAAAAAAAATTTATTGTAAACTGTGTGTATCTGTCTATAATTATTTATCACAATTGAATGAAATAATTTAAATATTATATTAATAATGTAAAAATGATTGAATTTTTTCGTAAGAGGTATTTTCGATAGAAATTTATCATTGCAAAGCACACATATATATATATACACACACACACACACATTGTATGGTTCAGCGCCTTCCATTCGTTCCAGTAGGATCACCCGTGTTTTACATGGGTGACTTTCGTATCCTCGCATTATGCACGGAACTCGTCGCGTTCAAGTGGCCGAAGAGACGAGAGAAAGAGAACCTCTTCATTATGCTATAACCGAAATTTTTCATTCATGGACGCTTTGACTCGGTCACGTTACAACGCCGACCGCGTGCGCCTGCCAGCACGTACTCGCTTGCACGCATGATTACATACCTTTTAAATACTACCACAGAGACAAAAATTACGAGGGTAGGAGATTGTTGATAGACCAAGTGAAATACTTGAGAAAAAGAATTTTTTCATTAAATCTTTGTTTATATATATTTATAAAATGAATATTTTTTTAATAATTAATTTATTTTTTCTTTAATTTTACTTAAACTTTTTATTTTTTAAATACTATTTTTAATTATTACGTATATCATACATGGAATTTATTAATTAGTTTAATTCTTATTTTTCAAATGATTTATTGAGATATTGATTTTTCTATGATTTTAAAAATAAATTCGATTTTATTTTGACTAAGAAAATTTATTTGACTAATTGTAGATATATTTTGTTTTTTTAATAATTATTATTTAAACTATATATCATGGTTTCGAATTGAGAAACATATAAGAACGCCATTGGTAGAAAGTTTCGTTGCTCGATGGATAAATGTGATGGAGGTTTACTCAAGGGATAAAAAATAAGTGGAAACTTACAGGAACCTAATTTACCGATCAATAATTGACAGCATCGGTAAATGTTAAATAAGATACTTTTATGGTAACAAAACTCTTGTAATCTATTTAAAATTTTATACATAAGTATATAATTAAATAAATGCAAATGTTTTTCATTAGACATTTAATTTAATTTTTTTTCCTTTTTTTCTTATATGAATGTAATAATTATCAATAATTTTGATATTAGAAAAAAATGTCGCTTTTTAGAATATTCAAGCAGTTCATTATAAAGTTACTTAAAAAATGATTTTAATTGTGATTTTGTCAAACGAGGTATTAATAATTAAAAAACGATTACCGCTTGAATTTTTTAACATATATATGACATAAAATTATAAATTTAATTCACATATATATATATATAATAATAATAATAATAATAATAATAATAAAGAAATCAAAATGCATAATTAAAATATAAGTGGATATTTCAACGATATAAAAGTTTCAGTATAATCATATAGGTAACAATTCCAGAATAATGATCCGGAAAGAAGATAAAAATAAGTAAATGTAACTAAAAAGATGAATTAAGCAAAATGCAAGATATTATATTTACATCTTCTTATGAATCAGACATGTTAATAGTGATAAGGAAGTATTATTTGCTCACATTTCGTGGAACGTACGGAAGCAAATAATAAAGCTGTACAATTTAGCTGTGTGAGACATTTTAAGAAAAGGAAGTTTCGTTCAATGCTCTTTGCTCCCTTCACATTTTATCGTTTTATTTTCGTTCTTGGGAAGAGATCACAATTATGCGTCGTTCGCATACAAATAGGAATTCTATGCATTAGTTAACTATTCGAAAAATACTTTTGTATCGTTTTAATCCAAAAAACGAATAATATGTGCACATTAAATTTATAAAATAGTATTTTAAAGTATTCAAGATTAGAAAATATATAATCTCTCTATGATTCTGAATAATCTTAAGCATTGCTTCTGCAAATAAATATATTCTTATCGTACCTTGACATCATTTATATTGCGTTTCTTATTATCATTTATTCATATTACAAGTCCAAAAGACTTTCATATTCCTATCAAATAACAGTACTTTTGTTTTCTTTGTTTACAAATGGTTATTACATTGTTCATTTTTCTCAGTCAATTGTTGATGTTATGCGAGTAATGAATTTTTCTTTATAAGATTTTCTTTTTTTTTTTTAGATTTTTATTCAAGGACGAAACTTAATCGAAACTTTGATACAACTTATAATTAAATTTCGATTAACTTTGGATTTAACAAAAAAATGTTGAAATTCTGTCAATTAATCTACCTATAAATAATTACCTTCGAGATAACATTTATATCGAAATTTACCTGTTATTTATTTATGTCAACATTCTTCGATGTTAACTCATCTCATGGCAAGTTTCACTGTTAAAAGCTAATAAACGTGACATTGACTAGAATACGTTGGAGACACGTCCAATCTAATCCATCGGAGACTTTCAATTTCTTACGAAAGATATCACAAATTATTTAAATTCTATCACGTACTGATTGTCATAACAAGAAAGATTTTTTTTCCTAATTAATATTCTATTTAACATAGTATAAGTAAATCTATGAGCTCTGAACCACGATTGATCGAGTTTCTTCTTTTAATAATTATCAAAAAAGAAAAAAACGATTAAAAAATTATCTTTTAATTGACGTATAACCATTTTTTTTTTGCACAATACAATCTTTCGTCAAATGTAAAAAAATAATCCTTTTATTAATAAAAATGGAATGACGTATGAATAAAATTTATATTGTTGATAATTTTCATCCAAAATGTCAATGAAATCTAGAACACGATTAGAAATTATGTGTATAAGATTGCGAGAACGATTCGACGAGCATCGTTCTCGCAACCAGCTTGACCTTCACCCTTGCCTCGTTTCAACAAGAGTGGTCATTTCTCCTAGCAATGAGTTAAGAAATTCTTGGACAAACTCTTCGGTTGATCTGATGATACGATTATATCGGTGATATGACTTAGAGGAATGGAAAGAAAGACGAAGAAGAAAGTTAGAAAAAATAAACACAAGTTTACACATAGAAACGAGATTCTTTCTAGCCTGTTTCTTTAAATTTCATGCTATTTATATGTAATATTTAATATGTTTAAAAGACTGAGAAAACAAAAAAATTTGTGTATGCGTTGAAATTCATATTATTCCTGTTACATAACACACGTAAATTATTTATAAAAAAAAAACAATATTTTTGTGTATCATTTTTTCTATTATCTTCAGCATAGTCATATATGTAGTAGTATTCTAATGGCTTATTCTCTTACGATAGATTAATATTACGTAACAATTAATACAAGAGTAGTATAGTAATAGTCTTTACTTTGCTTATGCAAATAAACGCGCATCTTAAGTGGTTGGCACGCGAAATGCGTTAAAGAAGTAAGAAAAATTGTAATGGTTTCACAGCGAGACAAATTAACTTTCACGGTCCCAGTATTGTTACATGATTACGAAAGTACATGTTTTGCATATAACATCGATTGCATCTTTTTACTCTTATTGCACAAACTAGAAAAAGTAAATGAATAGATTTAGTACTTAGAAACAAATAGTAATCGTAAAACACTATTCCATTGTTACGCATTGTTATTTCATTTAATTAGTAAAATTAATTATATTTTATTCTTTTTACTTACCATAATATATTGTACATAAACGTTGAAGCAAAATAAATAATATTATATTTAACGATCCATTTAATAGATGTAACATAATAAATTAAGTATGCAATAATTACAGAATTATAATGATTCGATGTTGTTAAGAATTGAGAGGATCAAAGTAAATCCTAAATAAGGAATGCCCAGATCGAGGGACTTCGATCAAGACTCGTCCTAGTATCAGCTAAATTTAAATACCTTTCACCGAGCATACGTATATATATATATATATATATATAATCTTGTAAGATATTACATAATAGAGTAATAACCGAAAGTGACGTAATAAAGGCGAACACAAAATTCTTCCTTCTTCGAAAAAGGGTATTTTTTTTCTGACAGAATGCCAATTATGATCTTTTTTATATAAACTTTTATTCTAAACATGTTTTTTATTTTCTTTTTTTATTTACGTGTAAACAATTAAATATTATTGTATTAACCAAAAAAAAAAAGAAAAAAAATACGTAAGAAGATAAAAATAGAGCCAATAAAGAAAAGGAAGGAAGTGTTCATTGGGGTGTACAAAATTCGTATCAGATTGAAAATTGCACTGTGTAATTTGCGAAAGATCTAGTTTGACCAATGCTACGGACTATGATTTGACAAGACTCTAATGTTTCAATGTGATAGTGGTTCACGTTCGTGTCCGATAGTTAAATACTTTATTTTCTCTTCAATCTGTATTAAACTTTTATATTTATAACTCTATATTATGAAATTAAATCATTAATATTATTATATAATATATAAATATATATTTTTTCATTACTTTTGAAATTGATATAATTATTCTCCTTAATTCGTTTATATGAAGCTAGTTAATAATTAACAAATAATTAATTAATTGGTTACCTTGATAATAAATTTATTACGAAAATCAGCATATTTTGTTGTTTCAGAAAGAAATTCGTAGAGTCGTCTAAAAAATTGATCAAAGTCATCGAAAATAATGGAAACTATTTGGTAAAATATAACGGGTGTTTATTTAATAATATATTTGATTAAAAATACTAATTCATAATTACGGTTTCAAAATATATTTCACGTGATTCATATACATATGATCAATAATCGATCGTGTTTGTGTAACAAACGAAGAAAAAAAAAGAAGTTGATATCTATTGTTTAAGGATTAAGAAAGTAAGATATCGATAAAATTAAGTTTTCGTAGGAGGTATGAAAAAGATGAATTTTTCTGTATACGTGTATGTGGGTGTGTGTATGTGTGTATGCTAGTTGAGTTAGAAATGAAAAAACTGTATACCCTACCCGCATGATTTTCTTGTACGTGTAGCCTCTCATAGCATAGCAAGTATAATGTTTTGTGATAGTAGTGGCGGTAACTCGAGCGAGTGAACGAATGAACGTGCGAGCGAGCAGGCGAGCGAGCGAGCGAACGAACGAACGAACGAACGAACGAACAAACGAACGAACGAACGAGTAGCGAAGGAAGGAAGGAGTCCCGGCCTCTCTTGGTGAAGTCGCCGATTCGAATATCCGTCGCAGTTGCGGATGCTCGTTCGAAGCGACGAGATCGAGAGCAAGAGACGCAAAGAAACAAAACAAACGCGATCGGGATCGATCGTGATCGATCGATCGATCGATCAATACAATAATATATTTTTTTTGTGTCTGGTGTCGTAAATATTATTGGCCTGAACACAGTGATCTGAAAGGTGTGTTTTGTCATATACGAAACAAATTTATTTTTCATTTCTCATTTATATGTTTTGCAAAAATTTATTTACTAACTGATCAATCGATGATTTATCATTATATCGATTAAATATTTTATCATTGTGTTAGATGATTAATAAGTAAGAATCCTTTTGGAAAGTGACTTTAAATTATCGTATAAATCAACTTGGAAGATATCGATCTTTAGAGAAGGAGGAGGTGGAAGAGGAGGAGGAGAAGGATCTATGAAATTGAAGATTTATCGATCAAAAAAGCGTTTTCAAGTTTCTAACAAGATGGTCGGTTCTTCGAAGATCATTTAAAAAAACAATTATTGTATGGTTAGTCTTTATCCAGTGACGACAGAGATTAGCAATCAAAGCGTTAATTGGAAATGGAGAGACCTTGAATTTGTCAGGTACGATTAAAAAAGATTACATCTATTATGTTTTAATGACATTTAACATTAACGAGAGTTAGTCAATGTTATTGTCGTTATATAAATACTTAGATGAAAAGAAAATTTCTTTTTGCCAAAGTCGAACATGATATCTTCGTTTAATAGGATAACACTAAATCGAGAAGAAAAATTTTTAACTGGTTAGAGGAACGTTTATGCAATACCGATATCTGTACCAGAATTTTCTTTTATTATTTCTAAGAGTTGGTTACGTGTACGATATCGTGAAATTTCGCTCGTATCGAATCATACTTCATTGATTCCTCTTTTTCTTTTTTTTTATCTTATGTTCTTTATACCGTATCGATATCTCTTACACCGAGCCACTGTTAATTATTGTTTAAACGCAAATATATCATAGTCGGAAGTGTTTTTATTTATGGTAATTTGTTGCCAGAGTTAACGCACTTTCCTCTGACAATTTTTTATTTTAAATCTATCCAAAAAAGAGAGAGAGCGCAAAAGTAATTCGTAAATAACTTTGTAAGACATAAATTATTAAATAGACATGATATTTTGAAGAGTGAGAGAGAGAGAGAGAGAGAGAGAGACTCAAAGATGAGAATTGATTTAAATAGGATACAAAATCTTTAATTTTTTTTAACTATTCTACAAATTCAAATATTCATAAATCCAATTTAACAGGGACCAGGATTTGTTGCGGTTTATTCGCGGCTATACTTTATCTTTTATTTTCGAAGTCAATATAATCAAATAAAAAATTGAATTATTTATCACTCGTTGTGCATTCTTTTTCCACAAAGAAGTATACGAACATTTGTATGAGTTGGAAAGGCCGTTCGAAGAAACTTTTGTCTTTGTCGAAAAAGCAACGAGTAATTTACTCGCGTCTCACGTCCCACCTGCACGTCACTGACGAATTCTGAAATACTTCCGGCGCGTTAACGTTCCTTCAGAAAATTGGAAGTATCTAGAGGTATCTACTTCGAAGGATTCACGAGATAACAGGATGCATTTTAACGGCCTCGTTGTTAAGCTTGGTTGAAACATACTCGAACAGAAATATGTTGAATCGTGGGTAACTACTGATTAAGAAGAAAGTTGCTGAACATTTTTAAATACTTAACTCCACTTAATTACATAAGATACTAATTACAAAGATTAGATAGTAATAATAAAAAATTTAGTTTTGTTTTCTTTTTGCTTTTTTCGTATAAATTAGCTAACTTTTAGGGATAAAATTCTTAATTTCCAATTGACGAGATATAGTCAAATTGAATGAATAGTCATCCATGAATAATCTTCGATCTAATTTGTCCAATAGTGGTCTGTTAAACTGGACTTCTATTCAAGAAGAGAAGTTATCGTCTATAATAAATATGCGTGCGCGTAGAAAGCACGTGTAAACTCGTTGCTCCAATATTGCATGTCGGCTTACTCAACGTGTTATTCAACCTCGCACATACACCAAAAGCCGGATTACGTAGTGCAGCTTCCATCGAGATCCTGTCCGGATTAATGCGCGGAAATCGCGAGCTGTATACGCCTTGTCTACTCCTGATATTCGTAACGAACCTTTAAATACGATTATCCGTATTCGAATCGTAAACTTCTTTTCTAACTAAAAAATAATGATTATTTAGTTGTTTTTTTTTATTACTATATATTTCTCAATAAGTTTAAATATGGCTAATTAGAATGATGATATTTTTGAAAAATTGGTAAATAATAGATACTGTGTATATGTATTGTACGTAAGTATTCACAAACAGGATGAAAGCTATTGTCTTGAACGTGACGTATATTGGATGCTGTCGTAATACGTAAGATAAATTTGATGATATAAATAAATCACCGAGAAATTTTCATTATGACATTTCAAATATTTTATCTTACTTTATTGGCTAATGTCTCGATATTTTTTTTTATTGTCTGGATATTAAGATTGAAATAATAAAATGTGATTTTAATTGATTGTCATTGTGAAAACAGGAATAAAAGCATTTCAATATATATATATATATATATATATATTAAACTTTTTTTATTATTTATTACGATCGACCTTGCTTAAAGTATGAAAGGGAGAAGCGAGAATATTTAGCAGAAGTTACCAGGATAACACGAGCACAAGCGTAACTGAAAGTAAGATTGCAGCATTACAGCCTTGTACTCATTGCAGTTAAGGAACCAGGTTGTCCGTTACAATTACAGTTAAGATACGGTGCGATCCTCAAATAGACACCAAACGTAACATCCTTTTTTTTATTGTAATTAGAGTACGAAGAGGGAACAATTTATTCCTTATCTAAACTAGATAAAATTTCCCACAAGTTTGAGAAATATTCGAGGTACATGAGTAGATATAAAGAATTAACAGTACTTATATCTTATATCTGATTTGTCGTCTGCTTCATTACTAGATGTAATTATGTAATGTCAATGAGAAAGTACTGTTTTTTTTTAACTAATTTTTCAATGATAGATAAGCAATGATCCGTTAATGAAAGGGAGAAAGTTTCTATCTAAAATGATCATTTTCCTGGAAGATGTTCTATAATTTTCAACCTTTTTTTGTTTTAAATTTGCATTTCTAATTCAATTATACGAATAATTATATGTTATCATTGGTGATGGTAATCAAAAAGTTCAATAGCAAATACAAACAAATGAACTAATACTCCGAAATGTCTTCATGTCAATATCCTTGATAAAAAAATAAACGTTACGTTTGTTGGGAACGTTAACAGGAAAAATCTACGCTCCGATTATTTAATATGTCGCGACTATATTTTGTTGAATCAATGATGAATGGAAATTGCTCCATCTTTAAACGAGCTTGTTTCGAGACGCCGGTTTAAATAAGGCGTTGACGAGTTACGGCTCGTAATCGTGAACGATATTTCTTCCCCTTTTTCTCCTTTCTTTCTTTCTTTTTTTTCTTTTTCTTTTCATACTTCTTCTTCTTTTAAAAGGACCATAATGTAGGCCAAGGTAGCTAGAAACACAAATAATGCTAATTAGTAAGGATAAAATATCATAATAAAAGATATTAGACCGTAACGCACGATTTCTCTTATTTTTCATAGAAAAATATAGTGATCAAAAATATATTTTGTCTTTATTTTTTTACCTTATTCATTAGAATAACTATTTAATCGTGGAAAATTTCTGTGATCATAATCTCATTCACGTAGCTAATTTTTGTTTTCTATCATTAATATTTAATATTTTTTTTATATTCTACATTGGATAAGAAAATCAATTAAATAAGAATATAAAAAACTAATCGTTTAATATTAATTCATAGCAATTAATTCATAATGCTTTCCATTTAGACGTTTCTAAGAACGCGAGGATATTTAGAACATTTGATTCTTGCTTTAAATCTCATGTAAATGAAGGTAATCATTTACTTGCATGGAACAACCGAAAGAGGGTTTGAAGGGAACAAAGTTGAAAGGAGTGCCGTATTAGTTAGTAGCCGGTAACGAGAAATCATAAGGTAGTCAGCACTCAGAAATATCTTTGTTCCAACTAGCGCACCTGTAGACAAAGAGAGAACTCCAATCATGTAACTAATAATCATTTAACCTTTCGTTAGTCATGGCCAACGATATCTAAAGATCTTTCTTGTAATATCATTCTATTATTCTTTACAAATATACGTATAATAAATATACGCTAGAAAAGGAAGAGCGAATTTATGAGATTTAGCAAAGAAAAAAAAAAGAAAATAAGAGACTCAATTATTTCAATCTAAAACAATAATTGTAGCTGAACGAATATAAAGATATCTAATAAATAATTAAGTAATACCTGTACTTACGTCAATTCGTTTTATCGTAATATCTCATTGAATCTATATAACATTCATCGAGAAGTAAATTATCATTTCTTTTACGAAAATAACAACTAAGTGACGAATACTGAAGAAAATTTAAGAGAAATGAGAACGGTTGTTTTCCAACTATGAGTCAGCTGCCTCGGTCTAATATGTTCGATCTAACGCACACTATTTTCAGATTATGACTCTCATACGACCTAACATCGAACGATCGATCTATCATTCGTTTTTCAACTCATACATACAACCGAGGACTCGCAGGTGCAAACACAATTACTAACTCGTGGCTTGCAGTCCAGACACCTGGCTAACTGATCTTTTACATTGAGAAGCGAGAAAGAGTATGCTAGTTTTACGCTTAGTGCAACGTTTTAAACTTATCTATTGGACTTTTCGCCACGTTTATCAATTCTATCGTTAAAACTGCACTTTCACGTGTGCTGGGTTTATTCTGCACGCTCGATTCGTTACGTTAAAGACACACTCATGCTTGCTTACTTGCTTGTGTCTTTGTTTCTTTATAGCAATTAGAACAAAAAGTATTCGACTTAAGACACGTGCGAATAATACTAGCGAACACGAACGAACGTCCTTACACTATTTACCCACATTTTCAACCAGGAACATATTTCACTGCTAATAATAGTAATACTCGTATGATTAAGAGCAATGAATTTAATCTGTTAAATCATGGTCATATATATATAAATCTTTATATTAGAATTTTAATTTATTTGTCTTTTAATAGGAATAACTATCATCGAAAATTTTTCTCTTTCTCTTTCCTTCTCTTCGACAATTATAATTATACAAGTACGATTCGATCGTATGAGTTTCCAAGTTAACCTTTTTAACCCCCATTTCATTTATATTCTTGATATTTGCGTATTCAGTATACTTCCTCGATTTATTGAACTTTTTAAATTTTATTCGTACGTATGTTCATTAAAAATCATCAATAAATCTTTAATGCTTTAAGTTCATATTAAAATAATTAATTTTTTTTTAAATAAATTTAGGCGTAAAATAAATTGAGTAAATGAAAAGGAAAATTAAAATGAACATATATAGAAATGTAGGATATACAGACAGGAAAAGCGATAGATCGAGATCGGTCGTGCGAATTATTTTTCTTAGATACCAAGGTGGGAAATAATACTTAGAACTCAGGACATAGTAGAGAGATAGGAACAGAGAAAAATAGAAAAGGACATGTGTCCTAAACAATAGTGAATGTGCTCGTAATTCATTCGCTTATGCCATGCACGTTTTATATACTTATACCTCCTATTTCGTGTTCGATCTCATACGACTATACTTAATTCTTATGATCACTCATATTAAAGACCATGGTTTAATCGTGAAAATTGTTCATATTTTTTCTACTTTCTGTATCATACGTTTCCAATTATGCAAGTTTTACACGAGAGAAGCGTATTCTATTTGTAATTTCTATTTTTTGGATTTTCATATACATTCATTTTTTTTATATTAGATCTTTCATAAATATGTTACAGTATTATATATAATTATATTCAGAACAGAGTAGTGCACATGTGAACTTTAATTATTTAATGTAAAAATGTTCTCGAAGATGAGAAGTAAATTTTGTTTTTTAGCGTTAAAATCAACAATTTGTGTAGATTATTTCCAAACGAAACATTGTAAAGGCGTTTCATGCGAATGTTCATATGTAAGTACAACGTTAAAAGGTTATTAGTGATTTAACGGTATCTCGATTCTTTATCGCCTTATACGCATAAAAGTTATCATGCAAAAAAGGTATATGCTTTCTTGACCACAGCTGTTGTTTGCACATACTATATCTATTGAAAATAAACTAGAAGTAGAATTGAACATTTTCTATTGTTTTTTTCACTGTGTTGTTTAACGATAGCTGCTTATTCCTGTTCTCAATATTTATTTATTTTTATTACTTTGCAATAATTCGTTTGAAACGAACAACAACAAAAAAAGTAAAATCATTGATAAAAAAGTAAATATCTTAATTTTCATTAAGTATATTATAAATAAATATATTCAAGTCACATTGGAGAGAAAAATTATATTACGTTGCTTGGAAAGTTCGTATGGATATATATATATATATAGATAGATAAATATTCAATGTATATTTATATAAATTATTACGAACTTTTCCAACAAACATTCCGATCTATGTAATATAAATACTTGAAAAATTAATTGAAAGATTGCAAAAAGAAAAGAAAAATATTAAATCGAATCGACTAATTAACATCCCTGATCAATAATTATAATAAATCGATGCACTTTCCTGGAAAGAATCTTCGAAAGAAGAAGGAGATTTGTAGAAAAAAAAAGTAAATTGCAGAAAAGGCAATGGTGGTAATATTACTTAAGAAATCAAGTAATATACGTGTACAAATATATATACACTTTTCCAATGAAAACGTGACTCCATGGACGAGATCCTCGCGATTGGCTCCTCATGCGGCACGAGATTTCTGTCTCTTTTTAAATTCTCCCTTTCAACTGAAGAGGAAAGACTCTTTCTATCTTTCGAATAAACGTGTCGTAATATACGGTTTACCGGCTCATGAGAAGAACAACGCATTCTCTTTTTTTATCGGGTAAAGAGATTCACTCGATTCACGGCACGTTGGCTGCATCGCAACGTTTACCTTCTTCTTCTTCTTCTCGTTAAATGTCATGCGGTTTTTATCAAAAAAGATATTCTACACTCGGTTAATGATCAATGCGAATTTGTGTTATTTTTCTATATTTGTGTATGTGTGTACGCGAATATACGTGTGTGTGTGTGTGTGTATATGTGCATCTATATTTGTTTTCTTTTTTCTTCATTTTTTCTTTTTTTTTTCTACTTTACTAATAGTAGAGTCAGCGCGATAGGTAAGACTGAATCGAGAACGAACAAAGCTTGCGAAGATGATTAAAGGTCGAAACTGACTTTGACATTAGACAGATACTTATTATGTACTTTTATCATTTACCGACTACCAATTTCTAAACTACGTTCGTTGTTATTTCTTCAAAGAACGAGTTTAAATGCCGAGTACCAACCAACCCGTTTATGTTCTAAGCACGTTCCAAAAGTTTAAAGGAGAGTGCTGTGAATTATAAAGAAAGAGACCAGAGAAAAGCTTTCTTAGCGTGTCAGACAAAACAATATGGTAAGGGTGACGCATTCGAAATTGAAAAGCATCTTTCAAATAGTATGTATTGTTTCGAACGTTTTTAAATCAAGAGTATATAAATATTATTAATTTAAATGGTTATCTTAATTTTATAACGAGAATACGAAACTATATAAGAAGAAAGTATCTTAAAACATATTGGAAAAACTTTTTGGAAAATTCGAACAATATTATAAATGTGTTTTTCATTAAAAAGAATATTTTTTTCTTTTTGTGTTATTAACACTAGATTTACGGATGTTTTGTTCATTATTTTTTAATGACGTAATAACATTGTTTGAATAAAGGATTGAGTAAAGGAATTGAACTAATATTTACGTATATTTCATTACGTAACTAAAAACCAATAAGTTTTCAAAAAATAGTATTTAAATTTTATAAATATATAAAATAATCAAATGTTCAATGAGTCAAATTGGCTCAATTCGTAAATCTAGTGTTAATATATCCAAGGGTTAACAAAAGTATGGGTAAATAAGATAAAAAAAATAATTGGAGGAAAGAAAAGACACGCATCGTCGATTTTAAATCCGTTTAAATATAGTAAAAAAAAAAAAAAAAAAAAGGGGAATAAAGAAAAAATGAATATTCTTACTCGTGCATAAATTACAAAAGGCTGATTGTCGATGGTTTCCTCCTCTTCCTTCTTTTTATTCTTTCTATATGTTTTCCTGCGGAAACTAGCACGTTGTTTATCTTACCGCACGGAATTATTGCATCCTGTCGAAGGACAAGTAGGAGGACGTCGCAAGAAAATCACGCAAGAAGGCGAACTCGATTTGGATAGCAAATCTCGAGAATTCTTCCTTTAGTCGCGTGAGTTATTACCTACTCGCATGATTACGTTAGATTGTGGTGGCTTTGAACAAAAAAAAAAAAAAAAGGAAAAAAGGTTATTTAATTTTTTTCTGAATTTTTTTATAATATAAAAAAACACTTCCTCCATGTTTTTTG